CAGAATGGATGTAATCTTTAAAATGCAATTTGAAAAGAATAGTTCCTAAAAATCTATATAAACATTTTTTTTATTATTATTAATTGGAAAAAATGAAAAATGTGTAAGATTTACCTCCATCTAGTGGTACAGTAAGTGAATTACAATCGACCAACTGGTGGCTCCCACTGATCTCTATTTATTCACCGGATTGCTGATAGCCCCAAAAAATTGAAGTCACCTGCCGCCATCTTGGTACTCCCCACTCTCACAGAGATGTGCCATAAAAATTCTTACATGTGTAGCATTTGGCTGCAAAAACAAGCAGTTTGCTGGCTGTTGGAAGTCGTTTCACATGTAAATTTACAGTCAGTGGATGTACTAACCAAGAAATTCCATATATACGCCGATGTGACCTATAGTATAGTTTGGGTATGCGTGTTAATGTTTGCGAGTGCATACATACTTGTATGTACAGTATATGGAAATCACCAGATTCTTGCTGCAACTATAAGCAAAAAGCAAACTATTAATTTGATGTTGCCTGTTATTTTACAAATGTATGTGTTTTTGCTAGTGTAGAAACTGAAATTCTGTGGAATTATTAAATTAGTTCATTGATTTAGCTCTAGTGTAAATCTTTCAGATATAAAGGCTAATGCAGAGACAGCAGAAAAGTATATGGCATCATCCATTCAGAATTTACATATAGAAAAATACCACAGCATTAACAGATTTGTACTTGTAATTCAGTCTTGATGTAAAATCTTGAAATTATATGTAATTACCACAACAATGTAATCAATACATGTATATTAGATGTACATTATCACTGTAATTTCAATTAAATTTCCCATCCAGGAAACGCGTTCCATTTACACTTCTAGCACATTTGTATTATTATCCTCCTTTAAGACATTAATTTTGTTGTGATGGATTTGTATTATATGTTGTATTACATAAATTACAGACTTCTTTGACCTCATACTGAATATGCAATTTGATGTGCCTATTTTTTTTAATCATAAATGACAGTATTATACTGATGCTATGAAATAGCAAATGTGTGTCAAAGTGATAAATTTATCTTTGTTTTAAAAGTCTTGATCCCTCCTGAAAATGAGAACTTCATGGTTGTTTGATGCTGTAGCGCATGTATTGTTTACATTTTGACCGTTCTAACTAGGGAGTACCAATATGGCGGCTGGTGACTTCACTCCACCTGGTAGCAATCCAGTGAATCAATAAAGATCAGTGGTGTTTTGGCTGGATGATCTGGTGAACGGTAAACTGCCTTCAGATGATGTGTTGTAAAATAGTGCTATATAAATAAACTGAATTGAAAATGGGTGGCTCTCAATTAATAGAGGCCTACTACGGAAGCTGCAGAGTGACAACCTACTCTTTGTGGAAGGGACACATCAAACTCTGTCACCCATATCAAATCAACTAAAATTAACGATGAAACACTTGAAACATTTCTCTAAAACCAGACCTGGAAGACACCTATGCTTGTCAGCTGGTATGATGGGTAGCTGATAACTGTTACATCAGAGCTTATCCAATGTAGGCTAACAAACAAACTAGCCGTCTTCACCGGCAGTATTGAATCGACCTAATCACCCTAATATGTCAAGCTATGAAAATGGCTGATGTTATTAGACTTCTGCAGAAATGTATTTATTAAGCCAATACTTGATTGTTACTAATAAAAATGCCACATTTTTTACATGCTGTCCCTTTAAATACGTACAGTTTTCTCTTAAAAATAAAATTGAAAAGAAAAATCTGAGAAAACAGCAAAGTTGCTCTATTTTTTTATTTTTTTTTACATGAAAAAGTTTTTCAAACTTTCTTTCTGGGTTTGTGTTTTTAATATTTCAATTCATAAAATGTGTTCTTTGCTTGCAACAATAATCGAACGGAATTCACTCCATACTCGCTGCTCTTCCCTCAGGGCCACTGCGCTCCACACGGTTGGACAAGCAATATATCTGCAGCAACTGTGTGATGACATCATGTCAGCTGAGATGGACAAAAACCAGCGGCTACGGCCATTTCTCAATTCAGAAGAACGCGAGTACGGACGCGTGTCCTCATCAAGCACGTTCTTGAGAAGAACACAGGAGAGTCTGGAATTCGGGAGAACGGGAGCACACAACATAAATATGGGTAAAATGGGACAAAAGCGTACTGATGACATCACCACACACTCTGCTCCTCTGGAGCTGCATTTCACCTTCCGTTATTAATAGTCTCTAGATAATAATAAATTCGTACTTTTTTAATTTAGCGCGGGAATAATAATGAACACAGCCAGAAGAACACAAATCAAATAAACATTTTGCCAAATAAAACAAAAAACTCGCCATCAGAGCCAGTGGTCCTTCACACACGGCTATGCAGAGAGAGGGCTGCTGCAGACGGGCTAAGATTAGCCCTGGCTGCCGTTAGCCTCGGAGGTCCGCTGGTTGTCGCGGTCCTCTCAACTTTTTTTAAAATTAAGTCTGCTCTGATGCATGCTGGGTAAAGAGGGAGGGGCGAGAACAACATTGTGGACTTTGTCCGTTCTCTGTCTTTTTGTTCTTGTGAATTGGAACGGTACTAGGGCTGAGGCTGACGATGTTTCATGAGCACATGAGAATGCACAAGTACACAGATTGAGAAACAGCCTTTGTTTCTGACACCTTGTTGAATCTCCGGTTTGTAACAACCAATTCAAACCAACCAGTCGTTCTAAAAATGAAAAGTGGGCCTCACCTGTTGCCTGAAAAGTGTACCTAATAAAATGGCCAGTTGCCTCTTCAGGAATTCATATTTTACAATCCTTTTCTTTTTTCAAAAGCAGAGATCTAAAGCACATGTACTGTAAAAAAAAAAAAAAACCCAGATGTCCTGGAGCTTTTGTTAAGCAGCTAGTTTCAGGCTAATACTGTTTAAGAGCCATGCAGTCCTTAGGATGCTAATATGCTAAAAGAGCCTTCAGTGGGGAACGGATGAGTGGTCTTAAAGTCAAACAAGATGGCTGTTTTTCCTTGTTTTGGCTTATGTGTTTAAGCCAATAGGCTTTACAGAGAAATTAAAGCCAACCACTGGGATCTGTCCTCAGACTGTCCCAAAGCTCTGCCTACAGTAGGCCCAGCTACTGCTGCATAAATCCGTACTGGCACCAACAGTCAGAAAGCTTCTGTTTAAGACCAGGAATTAATGAAAACATTAAACATGTATTACATCGAATGGGCTGGTTCACTTCTGCAGATGAGAGGAAACAATGGAAACAAAATATAGCTGAGCTGAACTAAATGACTCCCACATCCCGGAAATGAACCAAACGGCTATCTAAACCCTACCCCTGTCATCAGAGCTGGGGAGTAACCACTTATAATTACTTTAGCAACTTTTTGAACAAAACATACTTTTAGGAGTCATTTCCCTACACTTTACTTTTTACTTTAACTGAGTTAAATCATTAAGAAGTAACTTTTCTCTCACTTGAGTAAAAATTCTGGCTATTCTACTCACTTTGATTGAATGAATGAAAAACACATTTAAACCAGAGACACACTAACAATTTATGTCGAAGTGAGACCTCTAATGTGTTGTTAAAATTATTTTGTTTTTCATATAGTCTTTTTTATCACCAGTATTTATTCATAACAATATTTTTTTCTTTCAATTTAGGAGATCTTTAAATATTTTAAATCAGCTGTTAAGATGAGTTACCCAGTACTCGATTAGCCCTCTTGTCAAACACTTTTTTTGCTCTTTTACTTGAGTCCTTATATGGTGAATATTAATACTATTTTAATTTGTTTAATGCTTAAAAGCAGCAAATAAATTCATTTTATTTTATAAAGAGTAAAATTGTTGTCTTCTTTCCTACCTCTGCCTATGAAGGAACAAAAGCCTCTCAAATCTAATAAATATCATGTTTATTAAATGTAATGAATAATTTATTTAAAGGCACAATGCAGACTTTGTACCTAAAGAGTTGACACATTTAAGTTATTTTAAATTATTCCTCAGGCCAATATATCGTGCTTGACACTATCAATACTGCAAGCTCAAGTTGGTAGAAGATGCACCGTCATTGGCCAGGTCATGTGACCTGGAATAACGCATTATGGCTGCAGGAATATAGCCATGGAGGTAAGTCTTGTTCTAGACTATTTTCCGCCTGCCTCGACTACAGGTTATGTCTGCAGGAAGGAAAAAATGTAAACCTTCTGAGGAGGCTAACAAGAGAAAACGTGAAAGGGATCGTTCACGAGGAAAAACAAGAGTCTATCTTGGAAAGGAGTCTATTCGTTGGTGCAGCCTGAAAAAATAAGCCGGGAATAAAACCGATTGTCTTTTCTCACCATTATTATTAGACTGAGAAGTTAAAACTTTGCTCCTAGTATACAGGCATATATCTTTGTTATTATTTTACGATGATTAATAGAAGAAACATAGGAGCAGTTACAGGTCTAGAGCCCCCTAGTGGCCAAAAGTTACACAATCTGCCTTTAAATATATTTAGTAATAAAAGACATCTTTCCATACATATTCAATGTGTCAAAACCTCTTTAAAATCATCAATATTAAATGAAAGCGCTGTTAGATAAACATTAATGTTAATTGACAAAAAATTATAATATTTTTCTTACAATGACTTAACAACATTTTATATTACATATTCAATAACTTATCATTATCTGCCTTAATAATCTTTAACAAAACTAGTTCACTTTGACAGATATAACCGCTGAGTGATTTTTTTTTCTTTCACATCTTTTATGTTTTTGTTGCTTAATAACCCTGAACTTTACAGTCTTGGGTCCAAAAGGCGACTGGCAACGTTAATGGCCCACCCCACAACAAAACAGAGAGTTTGTCCCCCAGTGGGGCTGTACATAAACCACAGACTGACACAGACATGGACAGCACACTCGTCATGCAGCATCAGAGAAAAAAAAATACTCCAAGAGCAACAGAAAGAGAAAGAAGCAAATATGATTGAAGAAAAGCAGGTGACTTACCGGACTTGCGCTTGGAGCCATAGTCCCTGAGGGAGAAGCAACACAAGAGGGACATGGTTACTGACAGAGGATGCTACTGTCCCCAACAAAACATTCAGTCAACACACGTGCATCCTGACGCTGCGGCTCGGCTTCTGTGGGCTTTAAAACGCATGTGTTTGAAGGAGGAAAAGCAGGAGTCAGGGAGGAGGGAGGATTTGGCCAGCTGCCTGTACTCTCTGCAACAGACACAAATAAGTCATGTGACTCCAGACCAGCACCACCGTCTAATTTCCCTCCTCCCTGTATTCCCCCTTCGCCCTGTTAGAGGCAAAGACACATTTGAAGGAAGGAGGATCAGTTTAAGATGCTTTTCTTAATGGCTTCTAATGGGATTATGGCACAAGTCTGAGCTATAGATCACAGACTGACGCAGACCTGATGTACGTGAGACTTCTGTCGAGAACAACGCTGGAATATATTTAGAAAAAGATGGGGGAAAAAAGAAGAGTTCATATGAGGAGTTATAGGAATACAGTAAAGAGTAAATCTGTTCATCGGTGTTCAGTGTATTCCTCAAAGTCAGCCAATTATTTAGGTTAGACCTGCCAATGTCATCCGTGCCGCAGTTTCTCAGAGGAAACAGTAGACATCAGCAGAACGATGCTGCAGTAGAACTTAAGCGGGACTTTTTCCTTCTTCAAACAGAAAGACTCAAGTTTTAATAATTAATAGGTAACATAATATGTAAGCATTAGTTTCAGAACCAGCTGCTGTTAGTCATTTTGAACATAATGGTGTCATTAGTTGATCAGTTGACAGTCCTACCAGATTTTTTTATTCATTTTGCTCTGAACTTGGGCTGTTTTTCCACTTGGCTTCAGTTCAGTACCTGAACTCCAATAGGTTTAGCCGACCTATGAATCATTAGGCATAAAACGTCTCCCTATATCTAGGCACAGTAGAGGCTTTTAAAGGAAATAAAACAACATTTCTTTCTTATTTGTGGACTATCTAGTATTGTGACATTCTCTCTTTGATTGCAGGACAGAGCGTAGATCTGGATATTTTTGAAAGTAGTTCCATTTTGTTGTCCTTTGCTTTGTGATAGTAAAGAAAAACGCATTCAGTTAACAGGGTAACCTCAGGGCAAACCTTCGACCTGTATCTAATGAATGAGATGTAGCAGAAATGTTCCTTCTGTGGGGACAATTGGTTCTACCTTGGAGAAAAACATAGAGCTTTTTAGCCATTATGAGTTGATGAGAGAAGACTTTTGTTCCTCTGCAATACAAAACATGAATTTAAAAGGTACCTATAAACAAGTTTGAATAGGTTTATAGACTATCTACAACAGGTTAATTACAAGAAAATTATTACAGAAAATTATTACATTATTACAGAATGAGCTGTTTTAATGCTCTGTCACTTTTATGCAAATACACATGTAAAAATGGCAACAAAACAGATGCACAAAGGTGCAATCATACATAAAACACAGAGTCACACCCAGAAACAGAAGAGAGGGGTTTCAGGGTCACATTTCTGTAGTTAAACTGTCCTTTTATATCTTCTCAACTGCCCCTCTGTCTGTGAGTGCTCCGTTTTTTATAAAAGGGTTGGTTTGTGTATTTTGGTAGTTTTAGGTAAGAAGACAAAAGGAATATCTGATTGTTCTTGCATCTCTATGGGTTTTTAAGGGAAATCAGCATCATGCTAATTAGTTGTCTGTCTTTTCTGCAATAGTTAATTGTAAGAGACTTTTAATGTTTTAATCCAAATGTTATAGGTATAGAGCAGGGGTAACCGGTCATTATGATGAATCACTTCAATTTCTTTATTTGAAGCGCACCAATGAAGACAGTTTACATCTTGTCAGATATAAACGGTCAGTTCCAGTTTCCTCTACAGTACCTGAATGAACTTCTCTGAACATAATTTAATGCTTCAAATACAGGCAGCTGAGTTAGGTCAAGCAGACAGCAATGAAGGTAACCGAATATTTTTCCAAAGAATTTGAGGAAGCTTGGACAAACAATGGAAAGTGGATGAAAAATCATGGCTGAATGGTAGGTTTCAAATGCTCCAGTGTCCCTTTGGGATGGTACCCACTAAAGGGCTGTGTGTAATCCCGCAGCAGTGAGTCGCAGTTAGCTTGTCGCAGATATGACGCAGATATTTCTGATTTCTGCCCAGTTTTGAGGCGTGGTCTGCTCTTTGTTATTCCACGCCACAATGCAAGAGGGACAATCATGAACTAGGTAAGTTTTTTGGGTTTCCATGTGTCGGACGACACACAGTTCACCCTTGAGTTTTCCCGAAAGACTGGCCATGGCGCTGCGTGTTTTGGCTTTGGGTGAAAACCAACAGACCGTCGCACAGAGCTACAAACTAGTGTCCTGCACTGTGTCTGGGATAGTGTCCGAGGTGTGCCAGTCATTGTGGACGGCACTATAGCCACAGTTTCTGCCATTAGGTACCAAACAGGAAATACGCATAGTGTAGAGCGGATGTAGAATTGACCAATCATAGGCCTCCTTTCTCTCCTCCCTGTGACGCTGTCTGCTGTCACCTACAATTTTGGGGAGGTGCACCACAGTGTCTGTGGAATGGGCGGGGGGGCATATCTGCGTTAACTGCGACACAAACGCAGACAACCTGGTTTCTGAGTATAAATCAGGCTTAACTCTGCGCAGGATGAGTGGTAAAAAAACGGTGCCCATCGCATAAAGCAATAGAAACGCTGTCTAGTCGGCTAAAGTTAGTAGGCAACTGTGATCTTTCCCATCTGATTTAGCAGAGTAGATATCTCTCATTGGAGCAGTTTTGTTCATAGCTTATCTCACTAACGAGGAACCTAATCTTGTCAGGTATGAAGATGAGTAAATTGAACAGAGCGATTATTGCAGCATAGGGTAACGCTGTTCCCTGCAGTGCAGTGGGTGGTCAAGGTAATGACCTTTCACTGTGTGAGTTTAATGAATCCCTCCTCGAGTGTCTCCATGACTCTACTCTGGCTAATAAAGAGCCACGCTTTCACAGATAGATGTAGGCCAACAACAGAGAAATATCAGCGTCTGCTTTAAGCAGCCGCAGACAGAGATTCATGGTGCCACTGTGCCGTTTTCTCTGAACCCTTGTGATCCGATGCATCCATCTCTCTGTGACTGGCTTCTGCAAATGAATGAAGCGTTTATACTGACTTCTTGTGCTAGCAACTGCTTTACTGTAACTGAGGAAGGACAGGAGCCCATGTATCATCCCATGCATCTAAAGTCAGGAAAGAACTTCTAAAACACAAGGAATAAAATGTCTTTCATCCAGAGGGCAACACCTTAAAGTAGAGCACAATACGCTGCACTTTAAATGGGTCTAGGTGGAAAGTATGCTCAGGACAGAGACGCTGTTAGACATAGCAGTGTACAGTATCTGCCGGAATGGCTGATCTTTTAAGCCAACTTACCAAAATTTACTATATATGCAAGACAATCATCAAATTACCAAGTACTCTTTGCACGGTTGTCCAGTTAATAACTGTATAAAAAAAATACACAAGTCGTAATTTATTTTCATTGTTACATTGAAGTAGTTAAAAAAAGTTCCTGTTTAGTTTGCTCCAAACCAACAACAATATTTCTATTCGGTAAATTTCATAATTCAGGGTTTATACAGAAATGAGTAACTAAAAATTATTTTTAATGCTCTTTTAATGACTCTCATATAAATATACATATCTATATATATATATATATCTAGATATATATATATATATATATATACATATATATATAAAACACAGCAAAATCCTTCGTCATCTATACCGTCAACAGGCTGCAACCATGTCCCAAGTTCCTCGTTTTCCAGCCACTTTTGTTTAAATTTGCATTTTCCCCATTCTTTAGCTTTTTCTCCGCCTCGAGCTGATTTTCCGAGGGTAAGACTTTACGATCAACTGGAAGCAGTTCCACGCAAAAATCTTTTTTCTTTTTTCGAGTTTTTTACAGCACTCGTGGCTCGTTTTATGGACAGTAGGCTAACAGGAAAGGGGGTATAAGAGAGGGGGAGAGACATGCGGGAAAGGACCACAGGCCGGATACGAACCCGGGTCGCCCGCTTCTAGGACTGAGGCCTCCGTAGATTGGTCGTGCGCGCTAACTACTGCCCTTTTCTGATATATCAGATGAAAATAAAGCATTTTAAATGCCACAATAATCACATTTAATACATTTTTATGCCAACTAAGGTTTTCATTTAAAAAATAATAAGTTAATGACTTTTAATGATTTTTAATGATTTTTAATGACCTATGGAAACCCTGTAATTAGACGGAGAATGCAATTGCTCGCCATAATACTTTGAAACTGTATGACTTGAGTCAAATGGGTTTCCTTCCACTATGTACTTTCAATATTCATTTAGCTTTATGTCCCATTCCTTTGACAGAACTGGTGTAACTGGGCCAGACTTGTACGTCACCTCGCCACACATACTTTCTCAGCTCTGCACACAAATTTTTCAGGGACTGAGTTCATGTCTGATTCTAAGGAGAGTAAATTGTAGTTCTTATCTCCAGCTCCTATCCCTTCAGCTTTCATTTGGTCAACAGTTCTGCTTTGGTTCAAGTGTCCAAACCAATTTACACCATTTAGATCAACCAAACGTGTTTTGACAAAGGCACTGAAAGGTAAGTGAAAAAGATTCAAACTCAAAACCAAAGAACAAAAAACATATTTTTCCTCATGACTCACTGTACTGTACTTTTGCTGTATTCTTCTTGCATAAATATCATATAGAACACAGTTGGTTCTTGAAAATCAGCCCTTTAACCCCCATTTAAAAAACCGTTTTATTGGTAAAGGCCTCTGATCTTACTCCACTACCTCTAGTGGTAGAAAAAAGTATAACAATAACAAACATTTATTCAAATGTTTTTGATTTGCCTTTCATGAAAAACAAAATAAACTGTAAAAATGATTAAAAATATTAAAATTTTGTGTATTTTCTTTTAAAATAAATTCACATTCTAAAGTTATTATTATTAAGCAAT